GTCTCAGAAACCAATTCCGAGCACTCGAGATGACACTAAGCAACACGAAACAGAGCTCAGAAAGGAAAATTAAACGAAAAAATTTCATTCGTAAAATTTCAGGAAAAAGGAAAGGAAGGCAAATGACCGAGTCGTTACAACACGAAATTAGTCTAAAGCAGAAAAATAAGATAGATAAAGGTCCTAGAACACTCAAGCTTAAGGGGTTTAAATGCGCACTTTTCAGCACTCATCAGGCGACACCCCCTTCTAAAGAGTTGAGCTCTCTTTTCTCCTTCATCATCTTCTATGGTGTTAAGGGGAAACAAAATTCTTTTGCAGAGGGCTATTTTCGTCAATTCACATTGCTATTATTCTGTGAATAAAATTTAATTAATAATTCAAAGGCATTTATGTCATTTAAAATTTTAGAGGTGTCATTGTCCTGCCATTGAGTGGAATTGACCAAAACCTCATAAGGTGCCAGTTAAATTAACCCTAAATATAATTCATTAATATAATCGTTCAAATGCCCAACATACCCACTCATGTGTATATGTATATGTATGTGTATATATATATATGTGTGTGTGTGTGTGTGTGTGTGTGTGTGGAATTTATAACAAACACAGATACTTATATGCATAATGAAGACGGATAAAAATCCTCTTCAGTGCCACAGGGAATGTATCCCAGCTGGTGACTGATCTACAGTTTTAGTAACGCTACATCGTATAAGTAGGGATGGGTTAAAATTTGTTACTGCATCAAGTATAATACTTTATACAAAATATCAAATATCAGCAGACGATGCTTTTTCTTTCTTTCCTCCCAAAACCCTAAATTCTTAGCATTATCTTATCAATATGTGTTTGAATTATTTGTTGTTAATATTATATCTTTGGTTTTGCTATTGATTGGTGGGAAAACAATCTCCACGGTTTTTGAATTGGATAACTTCATCCAAGCATGACAAAACTATATATATGTATACATAAACACATATTGATGTACATAAATCAGTTTATACCAATATTCACTATACATCCCAACTTTCTCCTTAACAACATCCCAACAATCTCTTTCTCTTGTTTGGGATACATGTTAAGAAAATGTTGGGATGTTGGTCTTGCATTATAACATTTTCTTAATGTACATTCCAACTTTCTCCTTACTAGCATCCTAACATTTTTTTAATAAACATCCCAAACAAAATAAAAAGATGAATAGTGTAATGTTGGTAAGGAGAAAGTTGGGATGTAGGTTAGGAAAATATTGTAATATACAATTTGTACCAAGATATATTTATTTTGGTCTTGCATCACAACATTTGTACCAAGATATGTTTATTTTGATCTTACATCACAATATTTTCTTAACGTACATCTCAACTTTTTCTGTACTAGCATCCCAACATTTTTCTAACGTATATCCCAAACATGATAAAGAGATGAATAGTGTGATGTTGGTAAGGAGAAAGTTGGGATATTGATAAGAGGAAAGTTGGAATGTAAGGTAGGAAAATATTGTGATATATAATTTGTACCAAGATATATTTATGTATTTGTACAATAAGTAAGATATTGGTAAGGTGAAAGTTGAGATGTAAGTTAAGGAAATGTTGTGATATACAAGAAGTTGTAAGTTAGGAAAATGTTTGTGTAAAGAGAGATTGTAGAGAGAGAGAAAAAAAAAGAGAGTAAGAAGTTGGTTTGGTTTTGATTTGGTCCCGTATATATTCATGTGTGTATGTATATACAAAAGTTTTTCTTTTTAATTTTTTATCTTATGTATTTTTACTTTTCTAATTTACTATACGTCCTGTAGAATAGGAGAGGATTTCGGTCCGGGAAGGCTAGGGATTCCCAAATGGTTTGATTGGTTACTTTTCGAAAGAAGATTAAATGCTTCACCTGAGTTGGTGGTAATTGTAAAAGATGCTGAAACTACTTCTTTCTTTTTTCTTTTTGAGACAAGCTAGTGATGCTGAAACAACTTTTTCTCTTTTTTGCATTTCAAGTTTGTTGAATTATTCTTATGTTCTAATTAATTTATAGTCACGAATAAAATACTGCAACACTTCTTTTGGTCTATTTAACGAAGTAAACACAACTTCAAGCTAAAAAGTATTGCATGTCACCAGGAGAGGGAGAGAGAGAGTTATGGGAGAATTTTAAATAGGTTCGATGTATAAATATTTGAATTTAAATGATATATTTGATTTGTGGGTGATTATGTTTATTTAGCAATACAATGGACTGAATATCACCATATTGAAAGAAATATATATATTTTTTTTAAATAAAAATTTATGCAGGGTTGTATTGAGTTACAATCAATAAAACAAATAGACATTCAAACTCATCCTTTTGATGGTCCTTTTAGCATATGAAAAGTAAAAGAAACATGAGCTAGTGGTCGATATGATGACAACATCATTCAAATTCTTAGAAAAAGTGATTTTTTGAATGTCTAAAGCACCTTTAAAGCATCCTAATTACTTTCTCTATATTGTCCACAAAAATAATGGATTACATAGGAAATGTATTAATTAGTTCCAATCGGTGTTTCAGAGATTGAACAAAGGGTACAAAAAAAAAATTTTAAATGTAAATTAATAAAAAATACTTTGACATGCACCTATGGATAGATTAGATCGTTATTTGGCGAAAAATTGCAATAAAATTGATATATACCCTATATTAACCAAACATTATTTCGCCTTTCAAAAAACAAACATTATTTACCATGTTTGGGGAAAAAAAAAAAAAAAAAAACTTTCAATCCACGTTGAATTAAAAGTTAACCCATCACTTTTCTTAGGTTACGCCAACCTTCTGGCCTATTATCAATATTCATTTTTTCCACAAACCTACAAACTTGATATCTCATATTTAAGAAGCTTACTAAAATATTAACTTGCAAATTTTGGATGTAAGAATAAAATACATATCTATGATACATATTTACATATATATGTGCATGAGAATAGAAATATTTTAGATACGTGCTTTGAAAACTTAATATTTTAATTAGATGGTTGTTAACACAATATTTAATAAATAAAAAAAAAAAATTCAAGTTCAAACACCATCGTGGACCATCTAAATGTAGATAGTGATTAGGGTACATGCGATATATATAAGATGAAAAATTAACCAGAAAATATAACGTTTTTTTTTTTTTTTTTTTTTTTTTTTTTTTTTTTTTTTTTTTCCTTATAAACCAACAAACACCATAACTTATTTCTAAAGACACTATTATTACATTATCAATTTCAACTTCATTATCACTTAGTCTTCAAGACGTCAACCAAAGCTCCTCCTTTCCTTTTCTTTTCCTTTCCTCCTCCGGCTACCAGTGGCGCCACCACCACTATCACGTCGGAAATTCCCGTCGTTGGAGATCAATGGCAAGTCATGAGCATCATCATCGGTGGCAATACGGATGCAAGAACATCGTTCCAAAGATGAAAAAAAAGCACTTGCAACACCATTGATGAGCCACATGGCCATGCCATCGAGCTTTCCACTGCTCGGAGAGCCATGGCTTGAGGAGGACCGCACCCTGGGCTCGCCCGAATTGGCTCTTAGACTAAAGCTGCTTCTGCAACTCGTAGTTGTAGAGGTGGAAGCTGCCATGAATTAGAGACATCAAGTAGTGACCATAGAAAGTGGTTGAGAAGTTTTTAAGGCTTTAAGAAGCTCTTTATATTATTGGTGATTATGAGGCTAATTTTCACCAATGCCCCTTGATTTTGTGCAAAATTACAAACATTTATCAACAATTAATCTTAAATTTATCCCTAGCCAAAAAGTAGAAAATAAGTATAAATTTATGTGACTTTAGAAATTGATTCCACAGATCTTCCGTGCCTTTTTGTTGTATAGTGTGCTTTATGAGCCAGATAACTACTAAATAAACATCTTTTAATGTAAAGATAAGACTGCATAAATTTCATAATTATAAAACACTCATGCACTAACTTCGAATATACGAATATTTATGTGTACTTAGTTTTATCTTATTAGTTATTACATTTCTTTCTACTTAATCTATAATCATGATTTTGAATGAAAGAAAAAAAAAATTATATGTATCACTTACCATTTTCTGTCTCTTTCGTATTTTGCTAATTATATCTTGAATTTATAAATCAAAATATTTGAAAACCTTTAACATTTTGGAATAAGATTATCAAATACCACCTCCGTCTTAAGTCACATGTAGCGCGAGCGGGAGCGGGAGCGGGAGCGAGAGTAAATTCGAAAGTGGGAGCGTAAGAACGGCATAATTAAGTCATAAGCCGTAAGAATTTGAACTCGAGTGCGCGCGGAGCGTGAGAACGGGGGTGTGCTCGGAGCGTAAGAGCGACACATGTTGAGAATGATTATGTGACTTAGGCTCCATCCCATATTAGTTGTTTATTTTAAAAATTTTGACTTATAATTTTTGTAAGTCAAAGTTAGTAGACATCTCATATGAGATATAGATAATATATAAGTATATAAAAGGAATATGATTAAAAATGACCTCAAATATATCAAAAATAAAAAAATAGTAGTGCGTCAAAATTTTCGAAATGAACAACGAATATATAAAAAGGAGGTGGAATACAACAACTTGTTGATATTCAGTACAACTCTGCCTTCTAAAAAATATGTGTCCATATCTTTTGAAGATTATTTTTTAGAAAGCCGAGCAAATTATATACTATGTGTTGGGGATAATTACAGATGGGCTGTAAAGAGCCTAACGGGCAATGGAAAAAGCCCAAGCCGAACAAGCACACCAAATCAAACAGTTGGCAATGGGCCCTAAAACCGGCCGTGTTTTCATAGCAATTCCAAAAGGGGCGGGTCCGCCGGGTGGAGATTTCAAAAACCCTAATTTGTGACTAATATTTCACATTCACTCTCTTCCCCTACATTTCTCACTTCACTATCAGTACCAATTTTAGACTCTGATCAATCAATCTTCTCTCTTGGTATTCGTACAGTTAATATAATTCCATTGGATCCATGGCCTTAAAATTGAATTCCGATGTTTGTGTTTGGAGGACTGCTTCTTTGGGTCATCTCAATCTCAACAGGGGGAGGCAATTAGGGTATTTTCTTCCGGGCAACGGCGGCGGCGGCGGCGGTGGTTGTGTCAAACAACTTATATCCTCCTCCTCCTATAACCCATCAAGTTGGTCTCTTCTTTCACACAGAACAGCAATAAACTCTTCTTCTTTTAATTCTTGTTGGACTACTTTTGCTTCAGACCTAGAGGATTCCATAAATCCCCGCCGTAATCATCCACCCAAGCTCATGTCACGTCGAGGTACTGCAGAAGGAAGACCTGCAAAATCTGATCCAATTTATGCCAATCGATTAGTTAACATGTTGGTTAACCGTATTCTGAAACACGGGAAAAAATCATTGGCTTATCAAATTCTCTATCGAGTCCTGAAAAAGATACAACAAAAGACGGAAACAAATCCACTCTCTGTTTTACGTCAAGCAATACGTAACTCCCGGTGTAACAGTAAAAGTAAGACGTGTAGGTGGATCGACTCATCAAGTTCCCATTGAAATAGGATCCACACAAGGAAAAGCACTAGCTATTCGTTGGTTATTAGCTGCATCCCGGAAACGTCATGGACGAAATATGGTTTCCAAATTAAGTTCCGAATTAGTGAATGCTGCCAAAGGGAGTGGCGATGCCATACGCAAAAAGGAAGAGACTCATAAAATGGCAGAGGCAAATAGAGCTTTTGCACATTTTCGTTAATCCATAGACAGTGTCTATATAGACACATGGATCCAATGAGGTGATTGCAGGCCTTGCCAAGGAGTGGATTTTGTGAAATTGGTACGGTTACAAAATTAAGTAGAGCTTTAGAGAACGTGGGTTTTGGAGAATATATCACTTTAATTCATAAGTTGTCTTTGGATGGGATTGTGTTCTCTTCTAATTGGGTTAAACTGTGCCCATTTTTTGCTAGCAGAAGAGGAACGGCTTTAATTGTTGCAAGTGCTATATTGGGTGCTCTGTCTTGCTGATTGTGCTTGTCTGAAAGTTTTGAGGACCATCAGGTTCAGTTCCCGGATGATATTTGTTTTTTTTTGTTTTTTGGGAATTTTGATAGAAAATTTAAAATGTGTTCTGTGGGAATTAGTGCCGATATAATGTATTAGGTGTGAAATTTTGATGCTACCATGTTAGATATATAGACAATCATACACAATACATATATGTGTGTGTGTGTGTGTATATATATATATCAGAATTTGCCTTTTCCTCTGGATATCCTAGTCTAGGTGATTTATTGTTTTCATGTTTCTTGTGTGTTACAATGTGAGGCATTTATTCTGAAAGTTGCTATCCCATTATTGCTTCATATCTTTATCTTCAATTCAAAGTATTGGAGGTGTGAAAAACTAATTGATTATTAGATAAAAGATATGAAACAATATTGAAGATGTTGAATAATTTATGTTTCTGCCCTTCTTTCATTTTGGTTTCTAGTGTGACATGATGTGGGAAGAGTTCAAATTTCTTTATGGCTCCCTTCTTCCCAGCAACGGGCTTCACATTGGAGTGTGATTCTAATTCAGTGAATATCTTAATAGCACGTTCAAATGATTTAGAACACTCTGTCCATCTTCACACGAAGCTCTTATGGTTTGAAGCAAAAATTTAGCTTCCGTCATCTATCCATCCTGTTCATGTCCATCAAGCAGATTGCCATATTGCACTGCTGCATGTTATCGGCTTAATAAAGGAGTAAGTAAAAACTTATTCACTCGCTCTAGGTTATTTTTAATATAAACTTCCATATCCATTCATAGCGCAACTCACAGTTTGTTCATGAACAAGCTCGTTTCAGGGCTCGTTTTGTTTGCTAAAGGCTGCTTGATGAATTTCCAAGAAGTTGCCAAAGGTATCTGCAAGGAGGGAGAAGCCTCTTCAATCAGCAGATATACTTTGCTCCTCCTTTGCCAACTCAATATATATCTTTCAGTTAGTATTTTTTTTGCTTCTTTGCTGCTTGAGGCCAAAGGTAAACAGATCTCTGCAATTTGAGATGTCATTAGATGCATTTAAGACTATTTTCAGTTGCATGGAATTGAAATTCGTATAATTAGAAATGCAAATTCTACAGGTTTTAAGGAAAGTTTTTAATGAGATGTGAAATTTTGGGTCGTACTTTCTTTTGCTTTACTCCAATTTTTGGGTCTTACTTTCTTTTGCTTTACTCCATCTTCACAATATCTGCTAAGGAAATCTTTTTCTCGGCAACTGATAGACAATATACCTGAATTAGGTCCCAATGAATCCATTTTTGTCACAAGTGCTAACTCAGCCGCATTCATTATGCTTTTTGATACCTTTTATCTTCCAAATCCACATCAAGCCCATTTGTGGCCTCTTGTTTCGATTTTCTTATTATTTTTTAAAAATTGATTGATTATTTTTTGATATTTTCTTGTCAAATAATTATCACTTTAAAAGTAAATATAGTAAAACTTAGTGGATAGGTGTAACGGTGGTGTTTCGCAATCCGACCTAAAAACCTAAGCTATTAAGTGGGGCTAATACCCCGCCCATATATACCCAATCACTACTCCATCCGGATCCGATGTAGAACAAGTTTTCTCTTGTTACATTCTCCTCTACCTAAACTTGTAACACCTTCATTGCGGCTCGGGCCATCCTGCCTACCCGGACGCCCTCTGGGCCGGATGCTTGGCATAATACCAGATCAAGAACCGAACCTGGCGTTGATACAAACTGTAACGAATGGGTGCTTCGCAATCCAATCCAAAAACCTAAGCTATTAGGTGGGGTAATCACGCCCATATAGACCCAATCACTCTACTATCCGAATCTGATGTGAGACAAGTTCACTCTAAGTAAGTGAGAAATGGGATAATGAATGACTCAAATTAGAGCTTTGATTTTCATTTAAAAACATTTTCAAAAGCTAAACACTAAAAAAATTTCTTGAAAATATTTTACGGACTTTTGCCAAATACCAAAACATAAAAAATAAAAAACATTTTAAACGAAAAAGTTTAACGTAGAAAACATTTTACAAAAAAATTTTTTTACATCCTAACAAATGGAATTGTATACATACACGAAGCTTTACTAAGAATTCTACAAAGGCCTTTTTCTACTCTACAACTATATGAATAACTAAAAACTTGCTAAAAAGAAGAAGAAAGACTTAATACAACACTAATGCTATAAGACCGAGCATAAGTTAGTAAATATTTTTAACAATTCTTAAGTCACGTAACTATTTCTTGTAAAGTACAAAGGCACCCTTAAAGTTTGGAATCATATACAACTTAGTAAATTTTTGAACCATGACAACTCTTGTCAAAATTTTTAATTCAAACAAACCCTTAAAATTTTATATAAACATTTAAATTTTGGACTCTTGATATTTTAATTATAAAATTAAACAACTAGATGAAAATCATTAATGAAAAGATTCCATTTTATAAATAATAAAAAAATATTGATATTGCACAAAATTTATATAATGTAATGAAAAGAAATCAAGATATAATTAATTTTTGTGACGGATATATCGAAAAAAAACAAGTATTACTCTGTTTTTCTTTAAGACCAATTGTAGTAATAGCTTTTGCCTAGACCAAAATGTCTGAACACGTGTCAAGAACTAGTTGGTCAATGCAATGGAAGATGAACGAATATTAGAAAAAGGTCGTTGGACTCAAGTAGTCCACCCAATAGTATCCTGACACGACCACAAGCATTGCTAAATTCTGGCACATATGACCATCCCTCCCTTTCTCCTCTTCCACTAAAAATTTACTTCACCATTTATTGTTCTCTCTCTCTCTCTCAACTCTAAAGAACAATCTACTGAAGCAATTGAAGAAACATGTTTAAACTAGGGGAGGCCACAAATCAAATCAGATTAGGCATCAATCCTAATTCGATCCGCTCACAATGGATTGAGAGATTTTGAAACCTCACTAATTCATTAGTCCACGAATCGGATTTGTGAAATGACGGATCGGATTGGATCCAATCCGCAAACTGGATCGAGAAGCCAAGAAGAGAGGTGAGGCGACCAGGTTTCGTTTTGATGAGAGAGACAGCAGCAGATCAGAAGAAGTGAAGAAGAGAGGTGAGGCGGCTAGGTTTTGATTTAGTGAAGGAGACGGCAGTAGATTAGAAGAAGAGAGGATTGGTGGCTAGGTTTTGATTTGGTGAAGGAGATGGCAGAACAGAAGAAGAGAGGTGAGGCAACCACTTTTCTTTTTGCTCTCTTTAGTTCTTTGAGTTCTTTTCTTTCATATTTGGCTAGGTTTATGTTTTGATTAAATGAAAAGTCGGTGGTCCACTGGTCCTAACTCCCACTCCTAGAGTAATAAATAATTAAATATTATAAAACTAATTGTATGACACTTACCAAAAAAAAAAAAAAACAGAAAAAGTAATGTATGTTAGGAGTTCATATATATGCTAGTTACAAAAAAGTAAAGATATTACGACCAATCCGTAAATGAATCCGATCTGTGACAAATCCGTAAAATATATATATTTTACGGATTGGTCGCGGATCGGATTCACGGATCGGATCCACAAATCACGGATTTTTTGCCCACCCCTAGTTTAAACTCAACACCCTATTCATGATAACTCTCTTCCTCTTCTTCACACTAACGTACGCCGCTCGTCTTGAGCCTTCTCTAGTGGGTGCAAAATCTCCTCCTGTCTAACAGTAACTAGTTTTCTCCTTTTGGAAATAAGTGGTTGTGAAAGTGCCACTGAGTAACTAATTTTTCACCACTCTTCTTTAAGTTGTATTCCATATATATATAAACTTTAAACATTATTTTCAAAATATGGTGCAAGTTATTTTAATAGAGAAGGTGGGTCCGGTTTAATATTATTTAACTCTCAATTTTGTGTTCTAGGTCGTCTTCTTCGCTCTCCTTGGTCTCTGATATTTTATTTTGGGAGTTTTAGTAAAATTCCTTTGATTATCATCAAATTTGTTCCCTTTGTCTGAACAATTGTTGGTTCATTCTAAATTCATATTGTTTACGTGGTTTAATTTGAATTTCTGTGATAACAGTTAATTTTCTTCACTTTGTCTAAAAATTGTTGGTTCATTGATTCATAATTTGTTGCTTTGGAATTGAAGAAGAAGCTTGGTATGTGTTGGTGTTCTTCTCTCTATCTTTTCGTGTCTATTTTCGATCCTTCTCCTACTCAATTATATACTGCAATTACTCTCTTTAGTAGAATTTTGTTAGGATTTTACGTATAACTTAAGCACGAAATAAAATACGTACTACTTGGGATTTATACTTATAACATAAATATGAAACAAACTATGTATTGTTTGGGATGCTATGTAGATTATAATTTGAACTAGTGTTTCTCCGATTAGAGTCAATGACTATCATCCAGTATGATTATAGTGATTATAATTTGAACTTTGAACTAGTGTTTCTCCGGTTAGAGTCAACGACTATCATCCAGTAAGATTATGTTAGGATGCTGCGAACAACTTATATTGGCTTAAATTATAAACTGCTTGGATGTTATGCACAAAAGTATTTGCATATCATTCTGTAGAATTATGTTAGGATTATGTGTAATGTTTCGTACAACTTATATTGATTTAAATTACAATCTGCTTGGGATGTTATACATTACAGAACATATTCGAAATTACTCAGTAAATCTTTGTATTTACTTTAAACCCTAAACCCAAACAACTTACACATAAAACAAACAAATAAACGGAGGATTACTTTCTTTTTTCTAGATATCGTCCACTTATCTTCCTTCATTCTTAGTAATTATTTTCCTTTTTCTGCTATTGATTTCTTCTGGAAATAAAAGGTTTTGTTTGGAAATAAAATAAATTTTTTTGGAAACAATGTCTGCTCTTCTCTGTGCTTTGGTGTTGCTTGTTAATTTGGAATTAAATGACCTACGTAAATGAAGAAAGAACAAATTCTAGTATTTTTTGGAAACAAATCAATATTATCAACTATCCCATCTCGTTAGCTGGCAATTCAGAAGAGAGGGAAGGAGATGACGGTGATGTATATACACAATATATATGGCTTTAGTTTCCGTATATAAAAAATTACAAAATTTTTACCTTCTACAATTATACTGTTTATTTACTCCACCGGATGGAACCGAATTACTGTGAGACCGAAGAGGATTCTAATCCTCTTTAGTGACAGCCCCGTCTCGGATAGGTCCACTTCATTCATCATATCAACTTTTTTTTATTATTTAAATTTCCAAAATTTTATTTCTAATTGAAAGATGATTTTTACACCGAGTAGATGCAGTGAATTATTAAATCTACTGCTTTTAATTGGTCATTTATATAACAAATAAGGGTGAAAAAAAAAAAGTGTATCTAAGAAAAAAAAAAAAACATGAAAACCATCATCACTTTCACTCTCTCTATTAAATTAAGAATAATGCTTGTCTCAGGCTGCATAAGTAGCAATGTCTTTTTGATGCTAACATGGACCAATAAAAATATGACATGTGTCAAAATTTTTTTAAAATAACTAATAAAAATTGTTCGGATCTTTTTGCGGATCATCTAAAAGGAATGATTTTTTTTTTCCCCTCATGCGTTTAAGATTTCTATTGAAAACCCTTCATATTGCAATCCATTACAGAAGAAGCTAAACAATTAGCCCAAATATGGTAAATTAGCCACAATTATAAGACTCCAATTATCAATTGAGTTTAAGGAAATCAATTTGGCTTCAGATTGTAACAGGTGGTGAGAAATCTCAAAATTTTGGATGTTATTAGAGTTATGCGTATATATTAATTGGTTGGTCTCTTGAGTTATTTTGGAGATAGAGTTGCAATCGAGATGGCAGACAACTAATGTGGCGGCTTGAATCATCTCTAAAGATTAGGGTGTGGGAATGGAGGAGGTGGCAAGCAGTGGAGGTGGTGGAGGTCAGTTGGTGAAAAAGAGGATTAATATTAGGGTTTCAGAATTGGGGATGGTGGGAATCAATAGGGATTTGGTGGAAAGAGAGAAAGAATCGCGAGTTAAAGAGAGGGAGAGCCCGCTACCAGGTCTCACACACACGTAAGAGAAAATTTTCTTCCTTTTTGGATAATCCGTAAAAAGATCCGAATTATTCAGGTTTAATTATTTAATTTTTTTTAACACATGTCATGTTTTTATTGATCCATATTAATATCAGAAAGAGAGCCCTGCTTATGCAGCCTAAGGCAAGTTTTTTCCTTAAATTATTATGCCTACAAAGTGAAAAGCTATAGTGAAATTTTACATCATAAATAACTTTTCTTTCCATGATAATTTCGAATTGAATATAATTCACCGAAAAATGTCATTTTACGAGAGAAAAACAAAATCTCATAGGAAATTATTTGTTTTAGAGTATTTAATGACATATATTTACGGTATGTCTATATATTCCCAACTAGTACTTCGATCAATTTTCGTTTGTATAACATAAAATTTACAAGGGAATAGACCTTTAGAAAAAGATAGGCATACAATAAAATAACAAAAAAGAAAGATGGATACTTTATTGAGAAATGTGTGAAGCTGCATTTACAAATCAGACCAGGAGTTACACACTTAGTCACTTTAGGGTAATGTAATATACCAATTTACTATAGAGACTATAGAGGGATTTTAAAGTATTTTGCCTTTTATGTTTCTTTTACCTCTATTTAAAAAAATTAATTATACAGGGTAGTTTGGTAAATGTACAATAATATTAGATGAAAAATTGTCAGAGGTTAAATGCAGGGGTTTAAGTTGTGCACTTTTGAAATTACATAGATCGACTTGGTCACTTTTATATGAAGGAGATATTGTGCTTATTTGGTGAAACTTCAAGAATTTTTTTTGCACTCTTGCCTTTTTTTATATAATCTTTTTTCCTAATTTGACATGTGCAACACTACAAGGGCAAGTTTGGGAAACAATGTGTAGCTTTGTATTTATTATTATTATTATTTTAAAAAGAATGTGATTTTAATGTAATTTTAATATATTAAAAGTTAATTAAAAAATAATAAAAAATAAAATAAGAAACATCTAAATCTTATTCTTGTCATATTAGTGTCCTATTTATTTTATTTTTTTGAAACAAACAAATTAATAACTAAATAAAACAAGAAGGGCAATTATTAAAAAAAGGGACCGCTGTAATATTGAATAATTGCAAATTTGCAAGCAAGAGCGCAAAGATGGTGCATGTAGTACCAATGAGGTTTAGTAGCTGTCTTATTAATTTTTAAAAAATTGCATTAATTTCTTACTTATCATGAAATTAATTTCACGATAAGCATCAAACAAATAATTTTGTTTGACCAGACATGAACAGCATGGATTGAAAGTATGTTTGACCATTTATTGTTTAGACACTTGGTTTTTTAATGATAAAATGAAATATTTAAGTTCATTAATGAAAGGATTTCATTTTATGAAATTAAATAAAATTTGACTGGTCTCACTTACTCTTTTAATTCACAACATTAAATAGTACGATAAAAATAAATCCATGTGTAATTAAATTTTGTGGTGAATATCTCGTCTTCCTTTGGTTACATGAAAATCAATAACCAAAAATTAAAGTAAAAAAATGAAGCAAATCAAAGGAATTGTTTATTTGCATGCAATTTTTTTAAAAAAATTTATGAGGATTACCCTCCATCTCATATTAAATTTTCATATTTAAAAATAAATCCATTTGTAATTAAATTTTGTGGTGAATATCCCGTCTTCCTTTGGTTAAATGGAAATCAATAACCAAAAATTAAAGTAAAAAAAAATGAAGCAAATAAAAATAATTGTTTATTTGCATGCAATTTTTTCAAAAAAAATAATGAGAATTACCCTCCATCTCATATTAAATTTTCATATATTTTTTAAGTTGTCCCTAAATACTTATACGACTTGAAAAGTCAAAGCAAATAAAATCAATCATTGCAAAATTAGTCTTTAAAATTTTAAAAATCTCCCAATTTGATAATATACCTATTTAAATTTGAAAAGATAATTTGGTAATCTTATGAAAAGACAACGCATTAATTGCAGTCATTATTGTAAGTTAATATTATGAAAAATTTTAAATTTTAAATTTTTTTGTTTTCTTGTTAGTTCCTTCTAACCATACCGTTTACTTTTTATTTTTAGTATTTATATATATATATCTAAAAGACTAATTATAGTAGCTGTTTATTACTCGTAGTAATTAGTTATTAGTTATGAGAACTGTCCGACACGTGTCAATAACCAGTTGGCCAATGCCACGGAATAACAAGAAAAAGGGGTGTATTTGAGTTAAGTAGTCGTACCAATAGTATTTTGACACGACATCAAGCACAGCTAAGTTTGGGCGCATATGATCATTCCTCTCTTTCTCCTCTTCCTCTATAAATTCCACTTCCACCCCATCTGCTGAGCCAGACAAGAACATTCTGGTGAAGCAATTGGACAAACATTAAACATGTCTAAACTCAACACCCTGTTCATGGTAGCCCTCCTCCTCTTCTTCACGCTAACGTGTGCCGCTCGTCCTGAGCCTTCTCTGGCCACAACCCAGATTGGGGTAAGTCCACTTCGTTCATTCTATCAACTTTTTTTAAAAAAATAAAAATCACAAATTTATATCTAATTATATATATATATGTGTCTGTGTGTATCTATAGGTTGATGGGGCAGAGAACATTGAGGCTGATGAAGCATGTGAAGGTATGGAGAAGGAAGAATGCTTGATGAGGAGAACTCTGGTGGCTCATACTGATTATATCTATACCCAGGAGCACAAACCATGAATATTTGTGTTCCTAACAAAAATTATGCTATAGTTATACTATGTTGAGTCAATTAATATTATAAATATTAATAAATAAATAAATAAATAGATATATAAATGTTTGTATGTGGTTTGAGCCTTCTTATGAATGTGTTTTCATGTGAGTTGTGATGTAGTTGGATTGGGTTATATATATATATATATATATATATATATATTTATGTTGAAGTTGTTTCATGAATATTTGTTGCTAATGGGAGAGTATTACAATGGGCGGGACAGGCGACCGCACGTGCTCGGCCTCAACATGTAATTTAGTTATCAAAACTCTATTCCTATTTGGATAATCATTTATGATTATAATATCAATATATAAATATACAGAGCTATATCACCAATAGACTTCCATCACATGTCATGGCATACCAAAGATATAGTCTAGTCTATTGGTGGTATAGCTCTGCCAGAAATATTTTAGTACTTTTGCTATATTGATGACATGGTATTATAAATTAATTAAATATTGTTACGTAGTATGATTTATTAAATTAATGCTCCTCCCTCCCGAGCACTTTAGTGTAGGAAATGGACTTCACAATTGCAAAATTTTTGCGGCCCAGACCGCCTGCCTAAAAACGTTCGAAATTCTGAAACATTTCACAAGCTGCCTCATTGTGCAGTGCCTCGAGAAAAATTTGCATAGCTAGCATACCCTCAATAATAATGATTTTTGTAATCAATCACTAAATTTATGTTATATATGATCAATAACTAGAGGAGGTGAACAGCATGACCTACACAGAGAGTATTTTAAGACGTAGAATCATAAAATTGAAGCCGGTCTACTTTAAGAGATTTAGTATTTTCATGCGATTTTTTTATACTTCCATTCTAATTGAGTTTTTTTTTACTAATATTGTACATGCATTATATTTAATACAAACTTTATGTGTAGTTAATTTAATTTAATGACACATCATGTGACATAATTATAATGATTCTTAGTCTGAGTATTTAAAATAATTTGCTTGACTTATAAGTTTGAACTAATCATGTATATAAAATATAAGAAAGTGGACTCTTCATTTTTGTATATTTAATAAAAATAACCAATCAAATAATGTAAGTCAAGTAATTTTTTTTTTTTGAGAATTTGCTTCAAATATCACTACTCATCAAACAATGTTATTATGAAAACCCAACAATGCTATGATGAAAACCCTCCCACAATAAGCTCTCCCATTAGCAATTGAAAATGAGAATTCACATATAAACGACGAATTAATAATAGTTTTCAAAAAGAGTTTTGAGCAAGTCTACTAAACCTCCCTTCGAAAGGAAGAGTGTTAAATTTTTTTTCCTTTTCGTAGAGGCCAAGAGATTGGATCTAGCCGTAAGAAGAATGCTTGATATAAATAATCACTTCTTGCTCTTCGACAACTTCAGTCACTACGAACAACCCAAAGGATCTTAGAGTGTCTAGGGTTGGGCCAGAAGGGTCTCAGGGTCTCTTAACGCTATGAAAACATTCATGTTAACTAATATCCTTATAATTGTTGGAGGAAAAAGTAAGCAATATAGGCCGGCTTAGAACAATTTGAGGCCCAAGGCAAAAAATTTAAATAAGGGACCATACTTAGATCTCATCGGCGAGGATGTACACCATCCCGCTCTAAACTAATAACAAATGAACATGCCCCTCTGTAATAACTAAATCAAAGCTATGGGATTTGCCTAGGGGTGGTAAACGGGCGGGTTGGGTCGTATTTGGGTAGGATCACATATGAGTTGGTCAAATATGGGTTGTAACCCCATATTCAACCCATTTGTAGTGGGTTAAATATGGATCGAGTCAAAATGGGGCGGGTCAACCCGTCATGACCTACCAACTCGTTTTAGAAAAAAGAAATGTTATTATTTTGGATAATCTCATTATTATAGTTTTTTATTTTATTTTATTTTTTTTTAGATGGATAAAAGCTTGTAAAAATATATATGTATCAATAATTGTAAATCTTCCAATTTATTTTGAAAATTCTTTAAATTTATATTATTTTATTTTTTGACTAGACATGCATGAAGGTAAGATATATATATATATATATGAAATCATCTATTAAGCTTTTTACAGAATAGATAATTAAATAAATAAATCAGGTATTCCTATTTATATAATACACACGAATACATTGTATATGTGTTGTAGATGTAGCAGAGCAATATTATAGTACTACAAAGAATTTTAGAGAGACAAAGAGGATGATGAGAGGGAATCTTAGAGAGAATTTTAGAGAGAGGATGGGAGAGAGAGAGAATTTGGGATCGTGTGAGAGAATTTTAGAAAGTAAAAAGAGGTGAATTTGAGTCAAATAGATAATGTAAAATTGTATCTCTTATATAATGAGTGAAACATGGGTCAAAATAGGTGACCTATATATGGGTGACCCATATTTTTAAATGGTTCACCCATATTCATTTTTAAACGGGTGGATATGGGTGGGTTGGCAGGTCATGACCTATTTTGCCACCCCTAGACTTGCCCACCATCTCTTATTTAGTAAGTGAATATGTAATGCATTATATTTAACTTGGCAACTAAAGAAGATGGTTCATTTGTTATTGGTTCAAATCAGCGGTTAGCAATTTTTTTTAATAGAGTACTGCTATTTCATCCGATTTAAAAAAAAAAAAACTGATATATTACGATTTCTACGTGGATGTTATTGTATGGGCTACTTTAAAATCTAAATATATCAATACAACTATTAACAAAAAATGAAAGATCTTTCTCTCTCTACCCAAATAAAATAATAATGCATCCTCTCTCCACATTATCTCGTAAAACGCTGTGAAACTGCAATAACATCTCTTTTCCAACCGACCATCAAAATTATTTTCTGAACAGGCAATACAAAGAAAGAAAAAAAAATAGGCAATACAATGAATCCCGATATTCCCTGAAACATAATCAAGAATATGCATTGATCCCTACAGATCAAATGAGTGCTTAATCTTTACTATTACGTCTTTTTATTCCTCATGATTTTTTCTTTTTTATTTATTTATTTAATGATTATTCAGATGACAGAGGAGAAAAAAATTCCTTTGGAGGCTCTCACTGGAAAAAGAATTTTGTAAAGATATATATATATATATATATATATATATATATATATATATATATGGTGAAGAAAACGAGAAACTAAAAAGGTATTTTTATTTGAAAAATATAGTGCATTTAATCTGTGATAAAAGAGATTTAGAACAGCCATTTGTGTATTGCCACGTCTGTAACGACCCGCTCCACCACATGGTATGATATTGTCCGCTTTAGGTCTGAGCCCGCACGGTTTTGCTCTTGGGCTTTATTCCAAAAGGCCTTATTCCAATTGGAGATGACACACTTACATATAAACACTTTACCTTTCCTCTACCCAGGCAATGTGGGATTGTGTACCCGTAGCTCGCCAGTGTGGTAGCTTGACAGTGTCTCTCACACCCGCCCACGGCACACCCGCCCACAAGGTCATCACAATCCACCCCCCTTGGAGGCCTGACGTCCTCGTCGGCACACTTCCGGCTGGGTCAGGCTCTGATACCATTTTTAACGACCCACTCCACCACATAGTATGATATTGTCCGCTTTGGGCCTGAGTCCGCACGGTTTTGCTCTTGGACTTCACCCCAAAATGCTTCATACCAATTGGAGATGATGCATTTACATATAAACACTTCACCTTTCCTCTACCTAGGCGATGTGGGACTTGTGCACCCATAACTCACCAGTGTGGAAGCTTGTTAGTGTCTCTCGCACCCGCCCACGGAATACCCGCCCCCAAGGTCATCACAATCCACCCCCTTGGAGGCCCGACGTCCCCATCGGTACACTTTTGGCTGGGTTAGGCTCTGATACCATTTGTAATGACCCACTCCACCACATGGTATGATATTGTCCGCTTTGGGCCTGAGCCTGCACGGTTTTGCTATTGGGCTTTACCCCAAAAGGCCTCATACCAATTAGAATGACACACCTACATATAAGCACTTCACCTTTCCTCTACCTAGGCAAAGTGGGACTGTGCACCCGTAGCTCGCCAGTGTGGTAGCCTAACAGTATCTCTCGCACCCGCCCACAGCACACCTGCCAACAAGGTCATTACAATTGGGCGGGTGTGCCGTGAGCGGGTGCGAGAGACACTGTCAGGCTACCACACTGGTGAACTACGGGTGCACAGTCCCACATCGCCTGGGTAGAGGAAAGGTGAAGTGCTTATATGTAAGTGTGTCATCTCCAATTAATATGAGGCCTTTTAGGATAAAGCCAAAGAGCAAAACCGTGCGGGTTCAGGCCCAAAGCGGACAATATCATACCATGTGGTGGAGTGGGTCGTTACAACGTCAAAGTCGATTTTTCTGTCGATATGAAAGTGTCGTCAAAATTACCAATGGGTCGGTGGCCTAGCGGTATCAAGCCCATACTTCCTAAAGGGAGGTCAAGGGTTCAAGCCTCAGTGGAGGTATGTGTGCGTGAGCACCAACTAAAAAAAAAAAAGTGTCGTCAAAATTATCATTTTCCTTTTTTATAATATTAACAAACTCACTGGGAACATTAATACGTACTAAAGCAAAACAAAAACATATAAAAGTGATACTCTATCCATCACAAAATTCTTATCCAACTTTCTATTTTGGATGTTCCAAAATGTGATACCCCTCAGATCCGAGACATGGATTGATCAGGCCCATACCCAAACCCGAGGGAAATCAAACAATTAAAGTATTTTAAAACGAACACAGATAAAAAAAAAAAAAATGAAATAAGAATAACTATTAAAAGCTGAACAGAATACTAATATAAAATCCTCAATAGCCTGATAAAACTTAATAAAATCCAACTTCCAAAACTTCCATGAATTACAACTCGGGAATCCATCTAGTGGACCCCTAAATAAAAAATCTCAACTGAAACGTAAACAACTGACATAAAACCAAATACTAAAATATGGAATGACATCCTAC